TACGGGATGCATATTTTGGCTTATTGGATATACATTTCGCTTTGAGCGAGACCTGGCTAACTTCTCGTATGGAACAAAGAGCCCCGTGGCAAACGTAGTCGTAATGGAAGGATATATGCTGATGGAGCAGTAGAAGACCAATGTGCTGATCGTGGACGGATTGTCAAGAACTGACAAGTGTTGTGAGTCCGCAACGAAGAGATAAGTATTGGTGTCACCTTAAATCAGCGGAATAAGACTAATCACAAAGCTTCTAGGCCTGTTATATGGGATAGTGCGTCACTAGGTCTTGTGCAAGACTGACTGCAAGACTAGCGCGCTTTAGAAGACGCCTCTCGCACATGAACCAGACTATGGAACCGCCTTCTCAAAATGTCTTTGATATCATAGCTAACACAATGCCCACGAAACCACGCGAGGTAAGGGTCTAGCACATCTTCTTGGAAGCTCTTGGTCAAGCCCCACGCATCCATCGCGTATCTCCAACCTTCATCGTCTTCCCCTTTGGAATCCAACGAGAGATCAATGAATTCCAGAGCGTGTTCCAAGAAAGCATCTTCAATCTTGTTCGACCAATCGATAACTGGCCAGTTCTCAAATTGGTGCTAGATCTCTTCTGCTTTCTCTTCCATGAAACCGATGTGCTTGATGGTGGCTTTGGAGATGTGTTGATCGGGAAAGGAGCGGAATGCTTCGGGATTTGTGTCAAAACGGGCCCCGAGGGGTATATTTATGAGCCCAAAATCGCTGATAATGCGCCGCTTGTGGATGAACCTTGTGGCGTCTTTTTGCACTGGGCTGATGAGACCCTGACGTCTCAAGTTGACGATATCTGCCGGGGCAAAGATTGGGGTTCGTGGTATTGGAAACATCTTGAATGCTGATTAGTATTAGAAAGATAGGGTTAGCACGGGTGACGACCAACAGGACTACCGTTTTTTTATTTCTTGATAACAGAGGACTTTAACTTTAAAGCGGAGAGGAGTCATAGGCCAGAGTCGAGACGACCTACGGTATGCGACGTGACCTATGAGACGTTACGACCGAAAGTTTAATGAAACTTTATCTTCTGGCGTTTGAAGTTTGGCACCGCTGTTGCAAATGAGGCTATTCGCGGATTTGGAGGACGTCACTAATGTCTAACTAACTCTCAGAGGCTATGACCCGGCCGCGCACGCTTTAGCTGCAAGTTTCTATGAGATACGTCGCAAATTACTGAGATAAAACGAGCCTCAAGAAGCACTAAATCACTAAGAAAGCGCTCACCTCCTCGTCGTTCGAGAATCCTGAGCCGAAATGTGCATCTCGGCTTCCAACGCATTCGGACGGCTCCCGTAGCCCAGTTGGTTAGAGCGCCGCACTAATACTCCAATCAGAGTGTCTGGTAATGAGAAGGCCGCTGGTTCAACCCAAGGCGGGACCAAGATCCCATTTCC